CTCGCTCTCTCTCTCTCTCTCCACTCCTCGTACAGAATCCTTCAGTTTCCCAGGCCAGTCCTTCTTGAAGATATTGCCACTAAAGCCAAGGTTGCCTTTGGTCAGCCGATGAGCCTGCACTACACCAATAATGAGGTATAACCTTTTTTACTTTCTTTCCCTAATTGGTAGTTTGGGAAGTAAGTATGACACTTGGGTACAGAAAGATGGAAGCTGGAAATTGAAACAGTCAAGATGGTGCATGAAAAATCAGTGTGGAAGCCCTTTGCTGCTGTGAAAAGATCAAGATGACTATTTTAGCAATGGTTAGTTTATTTCAACAGAAATGTCTCCTGTCTAGTCCCTGGGACATTTTAACCATGTAAAAGACACGATGAGAGTGCAAGTTGTTATTGCTGCTGTTGTAACATGCCTAGTTTTGATATCTGTGTTTCATAATTAAAAACTGTAAGATGTGATGTTGTAAGATTGCAGACATTAGCCAATGAAATCTGATTTAATATTGGTATGATGCTTGTAATCTCCAAAATAACGTCTGATATCCGAATTAGTGTTGCAGATTTGTACGTGAGCTGTGAAAGTTGGATATGCAGCTCTGCCTGACTCCTGGGTGCAAAACTAATTGTTTCACACAACTATTGATACAGTACAGCATAGAGTTATAGAGTCATAGAGACGTACAGCACAGAAACCGACCCTTTGGTCCAACTTGTCAATGCCGACCAGATATCCTGGATATTTCTAGTCCCCCCTGCCAATATTTGGCCCATATCTCTCTAACCCTTCCTATTTATGTACCCATCAGATGCCTTTTAAATTTTATAATTGTACCAGCCTCCACTGCTTCCTCTGGCAGTTCATTCCATTCACACACCATCCTTTGCATGGAAAAGTTGCTCCTTAGAGGTCCATTTTATATTTTTCCCCTCTCACCTTAAACCTATGCCCTCTGGTTTTTGATACCCCCCACCCCAGGGAAAAGACCTTGTCTCATTACTGTATCCATGCCCCTCATGATTTTATAAACCTCTCTAAGGTCACCCCTCAACCTTTGATGGTCCAGGGAAAATAGCCTATTCAGCCTCTCCCTATAGCTCAAACCCTTGCAACATCCTTGTAAATCTTTTCTGAGTCTTTTCAAGTTTCACAACATTGTTCCTATTGCAGGGTGACCAGAATTGCGCACAATATTCCAAAAGTGGCCTAACCAATGTCCTGTATAGTTGCAACATTCCCTCACAACTCCTATACTCAATGCACTGACCGATTAAAGGCAAACATACCAAACACTGCCTTCACTATCCTATCTACCTGCGGCTCTGCTTTCAAGGAACTATGAACCTGCACTCCAAGATCTCTTTATTTGGCAACACTCCCCAGGACCCTACCATTAACTGTATAAGTCCTGCCCTGATTTGCCTTTCCAAAATGCAGCATCTCAACAGCATACACTTTTACAGAGCCCTCAACGTAGAAAAGATACTTCATTGAAGGGAGATGGTGGTGTCGGGGCAATTCTCTGGGGAAATAGCTGATGGAATTTAAATTCGATTAAATTTTTAAACAATATGGAATTGAAACAGTTTCATGATCACCATTACCGAGACTATCAGCAACTTCTATACACCCATCTGGTTCGTTAATGTCCTAGTGTATTTTACTGTATTTCTTACCATAAAATACACATGCCAGTAAAATCATTCATTCACTCAGTCATAGAGGCATACAGCACAGAAACAGGCCCTTCGGCCCAACTTGTCCATGCCTGCATTTAGCCCATATCCCTCTAAACCTTTCCTATCCATCTACCTGTCCAAATATCTTTTAAATGTTGTAACTATACCTGCCTTTACCACTTCCTCTGACAGCTCGTTCCATATACACACCAGCTGAGGTGAACAAGTTGCCCCTCGGGTCCCTTTTAAATCTTTCCCCTCTCGCCTTAAACTTATGCCCTGTAGTCTTGGACTCCCCTACCCTGGGGAAAAGATCTTGGCTGTTCACCTTATCAATCCCCTTATGATTTTATAAATCTCTAAAGGTCACCCCAAGCCTCCTACGCTCCAAAGAAAGAAGCCCCAGCCTATCCAGCCTCTTATTATAACTCAAACCCTCCAGTCTCTGTAACATCCTTGTAAATCTTTTTTTGCACCTTTTCCAGTTTAATAACATCCTTCCTGTAGCAGGCTGAGCAGGGTTGTACACAGTACTCATAAAGTGGCCTTAGTGTCTTGCACAGCTGTAACATGAAGCCCCAATTCCTCTACTCAGTGCTCTGACCAACGAAGGTAAATATGCCAAATGCTGCCTTCACCACCCTGTCTCCCTGTGACGCCACTTTCAAGGAACTATGTGCCCTAGGTGTCTCTGTTCGATAACGCTCCCCGGGGCCCTGCCATTAACTGATTAAGTCTTGCCCTGGTTTGATTTACCAAAATGCATTTATCTGAATTAAACTCCACTAGCCTGTTGATCGAGGTCCTGTTATGCTCTTAGATTACCTACTTCACTGTGCACTATACCACCAATTTTGGTGCATTCTCCAAATTTACATGCCTCCTATGGGTTAGTAAGTTTGCAGCCAATACAGGGATTGGTTGAGTTGCGGGATATCGATCAGTTGCAGATATGGGCGGAGAAATAGCAGATGGAGTTTAATCCAGGTAAGTGTGAGGACTTTGGGAGATCAAATGTTAAGGAAAAGTATACAGTTAGTGGCAGGACCCTGAACAGCATTGATGCATAGAGGGATCTTGCGGTTTAAGCCCACAGCTCCTGAAAGTGGCCGCACAAATATATAGGATAGTTTAAAATAAAGGTGTATGGCAAGCTTGCCTTTATTGTTCGGGGAATTGAGTACAAGAGTCAGGATGTCGTGTCGCAGCTTTTTAAGACTTTGCTTAGGCCACACTTAGAGTACTGCGTTCAGTTCTGGTTGCCACATTACAGGAAGGATGTGGAGGCTTTGGTCAGGGTGCAGAAGAGGTTTACCAGGATTAGAGGGTATGAGCTATAAGGAGAGGCTAGAAAAACTCAGATTGTTTTCTCTGGAGTGGTGGAGGCTGAGGGGAGATTTGATAAAGTCTATAAAATTATCAGATGTGTAGATAGGTTGTAGAGTCATGGAGATAAACAGCACGGAAACTAACTCTTTGGTCCAACTCCTCCATGCTGACCAGGTATCCTGTATAAATCTAGGCCCATTTTCCAGCATTCAGTCCATATCTCTCTCAACCCTTCCTATTCCTATATCTACTCAGATGCTTTTTTAAATGTTGTAATTGTATCAGCCTCCACCACTTCCTCCGGCAGCTCATGCCAAACACACACCATCCTTTGCATGAAAAAGTTGCCCGGTAGGTCCCTTTTTATATCTTTCCCCTCTCACCTTAAACCTATGCCCTCTAGTTTTGGACACCCACATCCTGGGGAAAAGACCTTGCCTATTTACCCTATCCATGCCCCTCATGATTTTATAAACCTCTATAAGGTCACCCCTTAGCTTTCGATGCTCTGGAGAAAATAGCCCCAGTCTATTGAGCCTCTCCCTATAGCTCAAACTGTCCAACCCTGGCAACATCCTTGTAAATCTTTTCTGAACCCTTTTAAGTTTCTCAACATCTTTGCTATAGGAGGGAGATCAGAATTGCATACAATACCCCAAAAGTGGTCGAACCAGTGTCTTGTGCAGCTGCAACATGACCTCCTAAATCCTAGACTCAATGCATTGCCCAATAAAGGCAAGCATACCAAATGCCGCCTTCACTATCCTGTCTACCTGCGTCTCAATCTTTCAAGGAACAATGAACCTGCACTCCAAGGTTTCTTTGTTCAGCAACACTCCCCAGGCCCTTACCATTAAATGTATAAATCCTGCCCTGATTTGCCTTTCCAAAATGCAGCATCTCACATTTATCTAAATTAAACTCCATTTACCACTCCATGGCCCATTGGCCCATCTGATCAAGATCCTGTTGTACTCTGAGATAACTTTCCTGGCTGTCCACTCCACCTCCAATTTTAGTGTCACCTGCAAACTTACTAACAATACCTCCTATGTTCACATCCAAATCGTTTAGAGAAATGACATAAAGCAGTGGACCCAGCACTGATTCTTGTGGGTTGACGGTCACGATCTCTTTCTGAGAGTTGAAATGCCTAAAACTAGGGCTTATGCATTTACGGTGAGAGGGGGAAAGTTCTAAGATGATGTGGGGGGCAAGTTTTTTTTAAACACAGTGGTAGAAGTCAGAATGCACTGCCAGGGGTAGCGGTGGAGGTAGATACGATAGGGGAACTTAAGGGGCTTTTAGATAAGCACATGCAACGAATTGAGGGATGTGGACCATGGGCAGGCAGAAGGGATTAGTCTAGTTTGGCATCATGTATGGCACAACGCCTTGGGCCAAAGGACCCGTTCCTGTGCTGTACTGTTCTGTTCTGTGTTCAAATTGTCTATATAGATGCTGAATGACAGTGGACCCAATACTGATCCTTGTGGCACACTGCTGGTCACAGACCTGCAATCTGAACAACAACCCTCTGCCGCCACTCTGTCTCTTACGGTCAAGCAGATTTTGAATTGAATTGGCTAGCTCTCTCCGGATCTTAAAGGGAGGGAAATCTGCTGAGCTTGGTTGTTCTTGCCTAGCTGTGATTCTAGACCCACAGCAATTGAGTGACTCTTAACTTCCCTCCAAACTGGCCTTGAAAGGCACTCTAGGGGTTAATTTTTAAAAAAAAAATACAAAGCCACATAAAGAGCTAGAAAAGAGCACTAAATAGTTGATCGAAGATCTAGGTTTCAGGAAATAGCTTAAAGGAGGCTAGAGAGATGGTGAGATGGAAAGGTTTAGGGAGAAGATTTTGGAGATGCAGGCCGAGGATGCTGAAAGTGCTACTGTTAATGGTGGAGTGATATTCGGGGATGTATAAACTACCAGATTAGGAGTGGCACAGAGGTGTCCGGGTCACTGGGCTGGGGGAAGTTACAGAACCAGAAAGAGGTGAGGCCATTGATAGATTTGAAAACATGTTTCAGAGTTTTAAAATCAAGATGTTGCTGCCTCTAAGCCAGAGCTCATCAGTGAGCACAAGGAGGATGGGTAAATGGGAAAGTTAGATACAGGCAGCAGAGGTTTAGATTAATTTAAGTATGTGAAGATTGAACATCAAATATGGCTGCATTGGAATATTTAAATCACTAGTTAATAAGGGCATGGATGAGAGTTTCAAGTGAAATGTGGTAGACGTATTAGCAGGTTGAGGCATTATCTAATTGAAATGTTTAAAATGCTTAACCTACACAACAGGCTTGAACATACAAACATAAGAACCAGGAGAAGGCCATCTGGCCCTTCGAGCCTACTCCGCCATTCAGAAAGATCATGGCTGATCTTTTCATGGTCTAAGCTCCACTTACCCACCCTCACACTATAACCCTTAATTTTTTCAACAGTAAAGGAATTATGTATCTTTGCTTCAAAAGCGTTCAATGAGAGAGCCTTAACTACATCACTGGGCAGGGAATTCCACAAATTCACAACCCTTTGCTTGAGAAGCTTAAGAAAGGGACTGAATGTAGTCCTGTTTTCCTGCATAGTAGGTTCAAGGGGTTTTGAATGATGTTCTTTTCGTTCCTGTGTAAGAGGCTCAGGAGTGCTGAATGGCTCCCTCCTGTTCTGGTGCAGTCACCTATTCATGTTCGTGCTGTTCCCTTAGCAACTAGCTCATGTTAGCCTCTGACTCAACCACTTATTTATCCACTTGGAAAGCTACTTTGAGTCCGTGGCTTCCTGTGTTGTAAAGTAATCATTGTAATACTGTCAAATTTGGCTAAAGTTGACGTACAGTTGATCTCCTTGCCAGATAGCTCTGGAGTCCTTAAAGAACTGTGGAAACTTTGTCAGCAGGTCTGCTGCCTCTAAGAATAATGGCTTTTTGTTTCCGCTTTTAGAAAGCGTTCTAATATTTTGCACACTTACTGATCATTTCAGAAATAATTCGATATCAACTTCATCTTGGTTCAGTCCGTAGGCATATTTGACCAGTATATTCTCCTTGAGATGTCATCAAATCCTGACTGATTTCCTTTGGCAGGTCCTTTTAAAACAGAGGCACTCAGTTATTAGAGTATATTACAGTTTTTTGGTATTTTATTCAGCTGTTCACGAGAACTTCAGAACTTCATGTGTAATTTTGATACCCAATGTTGTTACCTGACGTTTTTCCAAAAAGTTTCACTGCCTTCATTTACAATTATCAACCCAAAAAAATTGTGAAACCACTCCCCCACCTCCCCGCTCCCACCGCCCCCCCGGTTCATTCATGGGATGTGGACATTAGCTAGGTCAGCATTTATTGCTCATCCCTAATTGCCCACAGAACAGTTAAGAATCAACCACATTGATGTGGGTCTGGAGTCACATGTAGGTGAGACCAGGTAAGGATGCCAGTTTTCTTTCCTGGAGGACATTAGTGAATCCAATAGGTTTTTACAACAATCGGCAGTGGATTCATCATCACCATTAGACTCTTAATTTCAGATTTTTATTGAATTCAAATTCCACCACCTGCTGTGGCGGGACTTCAACCCAGGTCCCCAGAACATTGGCTGGGTCACTGAATTAACAGTCCAGTGATAATACCACTAGGCATCACCTCCCTGTCTTTGTTAATATGTAACCAGTATAATAAATCTGTAATTGGAAATGTGTGCTTTCCAGGATTTAGTGTCAGAACTTCGCACAAAATTCCAGGCACGATCTGACTTTACTTTGTATCACAATAATATAATCATTCATGATTTGATATCTCTTCTCCAACCAGTCAACCTGATATCTTGTTTATCCTGCAGCCAAGCATTGAGCTGTCTGTCTAATAGCTTCATCCTTCAGTCTAGTTAGCACCGTGCAAATGCGTTATTCACCATACCAGCCTATTCTCTTTTTGTTGCCTGCTTCCTCCACGAGAGGTTTTGCTTCAATTTATAAGTTATTGCTTTGGACTGGAATTTAGTGTAGACAGAGCTAACTTTCAAAGAGATTTGTTTTATTTTTATCATTTGTTAAGGTACCATTTATTAGGCTACTTTAAAAAAAGCTTAAATAAGAATCCATGGTGTCTGAGGTCATATATTAGCATGGCTAGAGAATTGGGAAACTAATAAAAGACAGAATTGGGATCAAGGTCGCATTTTCAGGATGGTATCCTGTAACTAATGGAGTGTTGCAGAGTTCAATGCTGGGAAAAGGGCAGGGAGCTGTGGAGTTGAAAATCATCAGATCAAACGTGATCTCATTGAATGGTGGAGCAGACATGAAGGGCCAAATGGCCTACTTCTACATTTTATGGACTTTGAAGGGATGTGGGCATCGCTAGCAAGGCCCACATTTATTGACAATCCCAAATTGTCAGAATGGATTATCAACCCAAAAAAATAGTTAAACCATTTTTTCCCCCCTTTATACATTCATAGGATGTGGACATTGGCTAAGTATTGAGGCTGTTATGCAATTGTCCTGTCTGCTCCTGGGTTTAAGGATGTGAAGTGCAAGAAGAGTTGGGCAAGAAAGGTGGGGATGAGCAGAGTGGGTGCGTTCTTATTCTTGAATGCTATTTAGAGTTGTTCAGTACAGACACCAGAGGACAAGATAAGGCTGTAATGTGAATCTCACAGTTTAATTGCCTGCTGGTGCTCCCTGTTTAGGCATTTATGAAAAATAGCTACTTGGACTAAGTAACAAAGGTGAAATGTGCAATTGTAACTGTGCCATGAGGAGATGTGGGAACACTTTGCAGAATAACCTCAAGCTTTCCTTGGGCAATGCCATCACATTTTGAGGACATTGGGGAGGGGGTGGCCTAGTGGTATTATCACTGGACTGTTAATCCAGAGACCCAGATAACGTTCTGGGGACCCAGGTTCGAATCCCGCCTCGGCAGATGGTGGAATTTGAATCCACTAAATATCTGGAATTAAGAATCTAATGATGACCATGTATCTATTGTTGATTGTTGGAAAAACCCATCTGGTTCACTAATGTCCTTTAGGGAAGGAAACTGCCATCCCTACCTCGTCTGGCCTACATGTGACTCCAGACCCACAGCAATGTGGTTGACTGTCAACTGCCCCCTGGACAATTAGGGATGGGCAGTAAATGCTGCCTGGCCAGTGACTCCCTCATCCCATGATCGAATTTAAAAAAAAAAAAAAAAATTTTTGAAAATTCTGTTCATTGATGTGAGGATTGTTCATAAGGGAATCAGCTTGCTGATTCTTTGTCATCTGTTCTGCAGTTAGTGATCCCTCTGACCACACAGGATGACCTGGATAAAGCCATCGAACTCCTGGATCGCAGTGTGCATATGAAGAGCCTAAAGATTTTGTTGGTGCTTCAATCAAACAACCAGGTACAGAACACAAAATAAAATATGTGGATATTGTCAATCTGTCCATTCTGATAAAAGGACATCTCCTTAAAATGTTAACTCTTCCTTTCTCCACAAATGCTACCACGTCTTGCTGATCACATCCAGCGTTTCAGATTTTTAATCAGCTGTGGAACTGGGGATAGTGTGGATATGGGAGAGAGTGGGTTTCAGGTATAATGAGAGTGGAATGCGGACTGATTGTGCAGCAGTTCCACTGAATTTGTACAGCACCTCCACTGAATTTGTACAGCACCTCCACAACCTCGGAGCACCCCAAAGAGCTTTACAGTCAACTAGGTAATCCTGAAGTGCCATAACTGTTATGTAAGGTATATAATAGCCAACTTTACACAGCACACTACCACAAACAGCAATGTGGTAAATCGTAGTGTCTGTAATTTGTGATGTTGGTTAAGGAGTACTTATTGGCCAGAATGTCAGATCTCCCCTGCTCTTCCTTAAAATAGTGTCATGGATCTTTTTATATACACCTGAGGGAGCAAACAGATTCTCCTCTGGAAAATGGGAGACATGAAGGAGCTCTTGTTTAGACAACCTGCAGTCGAGTCCCTCATGGTTTCTCTGTGCAGACAGCTTAAAAAAAAGTCTTGGTGCAGGTGAGACACTGTTGCTGCAGAGAAGGAGGCGATAAAGGCTGAGGCATAAGATTCCCAAGGTATCTGTACAAGCAAGTTTGGCATTGTGCCTGGTTTAGTGAGCCGAATTTGTGTTTACGGAAGCATGTTGAATTTCAGAACCAGATTTTGCAACAGTGCTTCTGTTAACACATCCACTTGGGACATTCTATCAAAGTCAGCATGACTGTTCATAGATGTAGCACAGGAAGAAGCCAGTTGCCTTGTCTTGTCTGTGATGGCTCTTTGAAAGAGCTCTCCAGTTGGTTCCACTGCACCAGCTCTTCCCCCTTAGCCATAAGGTAGTCACTATTTTAGTTGTTTACCCAATTCCCTTCTGGAAGTTGCTGTCTGCTTCCACCAGCCTTTCAGGCTGATTCACCTTGTTTCAGATACTAACAATCCCTTGTGGTTTGTTAACCAATTATCTTAAATCTGTGGCCTCTGATTACTGCCCTGGCAAGCACTTTCTCTTCATGTATAGTTTTTGTGTAGTTTTGAACACCAGTATTACAATCATGACCAAAATAATTTTGAAGTATAATCACTGTTGTAGGAAATGCAGCGGCTAATTTATGCACAGCAAGATGTCACAGAAATGAGTTATGAGCAGATCATCAGTTTTAGTCATTTTCTCTGGAAGATGGCATCTCTGACAAAGTAGTACTCCCTTAGTCAATACAGTGTGGAGTCGGAGGAACACAGGTCAGGCAGCATCAGAGGAGCAGGAAAGTCAATGATTCGGGTTTACACCCTTCATCAGGACTGGGGAGGGGGAAGGGAGCTCGGAAATAAATGGGCAGAGTGGGCTGGGGAAAGGTAGGTGGGATGGTGACAGCTGGATGCAGGTAGGGGGTGGTGGGGATTGGTCAGTGGGGGGGGTGGGGTGGATAGGCGGGGAAGAAGATGGCCAGGTTGTGTCAGGTCAAGGAGGTGGGGATGAGAGGGAGGTTTGGATGTGGGATAAGGCCGGGGGGTTGAGAGATTTTGAAACTGGTGAATGCTCTGTTGAGGCCATCGGACTGTAAACTCGGAGGTGGAATATAAGGTGTTGTTCCTCCACTTTGCATGTGGTGTCATCATGACACTGGAAGAGGCCAAGAATGGATGGATGAGTCACCAAGGGAGTGGGAAGGGGTGTTAAAATGGCTGGCACCCAGACGATGGTGTTGATTATAGTGTACAGAGTGCAGATGCTCCGCGAATTGGTCACCGAGTCTGCGCTTGGTCTCGCTGACGTAGAGCAGACCACATTGGGAACGATGGATACAGTAGACCAGGTTGGAGGATGTACAGGTGAATCCCTGTCAGATTTGCAAAGGTTGTCTGGGGCCTTGTACAGAGGTGAGGGGGGGAGGTGTAGGGGCAGGTGTAGCACTTCCTGCGGTTGCAGGGAAAGATGCCGGTTGTGGTGAGGTAGGCGGGGAGTGTGGAGCGGACAAGGGAGTTGTGGAGTGAGCAGTCCCTACAAAAGGCAGGTAGGAGTGGGGAGGCAAATCTTTCTGTGCTGGTGGAGGTTGGATTGCAGCTGGCGGAAGTAGTGGAGGATGATGCGCTAGATGCAGAGGTTCGTGAGGTTGCATGTGAGAACCAGGGGCACTCTGTCCTTATTTTTGTTGGGGGGAAGAGGTTTGAAGGCAGAAGTGTGGTAAATGCGAGGAGATGTGGTTGATGGCATTGTGAATCAACGGAGATGGGAAGTTGTGGTCCTTGAAGTAGGAGGACATCTTGGATGTTCGGGAGTGGAACACTACATCTTGGGAGCGGATGCGACGGAGGTGGAGGAATTGGGAGTAAGGGATTGCATTCTTGCAGGAGGGTGGGTGAGTGGAGGTATAGTTAGGTATAGTACTTCCTCAGTCCTGGTTTAAAGGCAAGAGTGCTCCAGGACAAGGGATCATTTGAGAAATGATGGGAAGGGAGAGGACAAGACAAGACAGCATGGTTGCAATTAAGGGTGCTGATTATCAGAGTTGCAGGAGGGGATGGAGCATACAAAATTAACAATGTGCTGGATGATAAGGCCAGAGATCGCAAGAATGGTGAAAAGACAGAATCAAATGATGTGTGCCTGAATACACACAACATTCGTAACAAAATGGATGAATTGTCAACTCGGGTGAAAATAACTGTGCATGATCTGGTTGTCATCTTATGCACCTGTAAATGCTAAGGTTGGGAATCGAGTATTTACGGACGCATCACATTTCAGAAGGACAGCAAAGCTAAGACAGATCATTAGGGATCTCTCTTAGTGGTTTTTAATTCATTCACAGGATGAGGGCATCACTGGCTAGGCCAGCATTGTTGACCATTCCTAATTGCCCAGAGGGCAGTTCAGAGTCATCCACATCTCTGAGAGTCTGGAGTCACATGTAGGCCAGACCAGGTAAGGATAGATGTTTCGTTTCCTAAAGGGCATTAGTGAACCAGATGATAATCAACAATGAATTTATGGTCATCATTTGACTCTTAATTCCAGATTTTTTAAAATTGGATTCAAATTCCACCATTTGCCGTGGCAGGATTTGAATCCGAGTCCCCAGAACATTACCTGGGTTCTGCATGGTAGAGTGGTTAGCAAGGTTAGATCACATGGAATCCAAGGGGAGCTAGCCAATTGGATGCAAAATTGACTGGAAGGTAGGAGGTAGAGGGTTGTTTTTTGGACTGGAGGACTTTGACCAGTGGTGTGCCGCGAGGATCAGTGCTGGGTCCACTGCTTTTAGTCATTTATGTAAGTGATTTGGATCTGCATATAGGCGGTATGGTTAGTAAGTTTACAGATGACACCAAAATTGGTGGCGTAGTGAACAGTGAACGAGGTTACCTCAGAGTACAATGGGACCTTAATCAAATGGGCCAATGAGTGGAAGAATGGCAGATGGAGTTTAATTTAGGTAAATGTGAGGTGTTGCATTTTTGTAAGGCAAACCAGGACAGGACTTGCACAGTTAATGGTGAGGCCCTGGGGAGTGTTGCTGAACAATGAGACCTATCCACAGATGCATAGTTCCTCGAAAGCGGAGTCGCAGGAAGACAGGGTAGTGAAGAACATGTTTGGTATGCTTGCCTTTTCAGTCAGTGCATTGAGTATATGAGTTGAGGATTTCATGTGGCTGTACAGGACTTTGTGAGACCACTTCTGGTATACTGCGTACAATTCTGGTCGCCCTTCTATAGGAAGAATGTTGTCAAACTTGAGAGGGTTCAGAAGAGATAAATAAGGATGTTGCCAAGACTGGAGGGTTTGAGTTACAGGGAGAGGCTGAAAAGAATGGGGCTATTTTCCTTAGAGCATTGGAGGCTGAGGGGTGACCTTATAGAGGTTCATAAAATAATGAGGGGTATGGATAGAGTGAATAGCCAAGGTCTTTAACCCAGGTTAGGGGAGTCCAAAACGAGAGCGCATAGGTTTAAAGTGAGAGAGAAAAAGTTTAAAAGGGACCTAAGGGACACCGTTTCCACACAGAGGGTGCTGTGTGTATGGAATGAACTGCCAAAGGAAGTGGTGGGTACAATTAATCACATTTAAGTGGCATCTGGATGGGTGCATGAACAAGAAGGGTTTAAAGGGATACAGACCACATGCTGGCCAATGGGACTAGATCAGTTTAGTATATCTGGTTGGCACAGATGAGTTGGACTGAAGGGTCCATTTCCGTGCTGTATGACTGTGTGATTACAGATATTAGAAAAGAAAACGAACAACTAAAGTGAGTGTTGATCCTTGAGATAGAGGGAGTTTCTGGGTAATTATTGGGAAATAAGGAAACAACAGGTACATGGAGTAGAGATAATAGGAACTGCAGATGCTGGAGAATCTGAGATAACAAGGTGTAGAGCTGGATGAACACAGCAGGCCAAGCAGCATCAGAGGAGCAGGATTTCTGAAGAACGGTCTAGGCCCGAAACATTAGCTTTCCTGCTGCTCTGATGCTGCTTGGCCAGCTGTGTTCGGCCAGCTGTGTTCATCCAGCTCTACACCTTGTTATCTCAGGTACATGGAGTAGCTATTTTGTGTCAGTCCTCACTGTAAAGGATTCAAATAACATCCCAGAAATAATTGAAAATAGGTTTCCACATTTCCCTATGTTCTAGAAATTTCACATCAGATTGGAAAGTAACCAGTTATTACTCCTCTATTCAATAAAGGAGGGAGCAGAAAGCAGGAGATTACAGGCAATTAGTCTGACATCTGCCATATGGAAAATGTTATAGCAGGCCTCTTAGAAACTCTAAATGCCATCAGGCAGAGTCAGCATGGTTTTGTGAAAAGGAAATTATGTTTGACTAACCCATTGGAATTCTTTGAAGTATTTTGCAGTTTCATAGAACAGTACA